AGTACAAAATCTATAAAGAACTTTTCAAACTCAACACTCAAAAAACAAATAATCCAGTGAAGAAATGGGCAAAAGACATGAATAGACACTTCTCCAAAGAAGACATCCAGATGGCCGACACATGAAAAATCATCATTCATCATCAGAGAAATACAAATCAAAACCACAATGAGATACCACCTCACACCTGTCAGAATGGCTAACATTAACAAGTCAGGCAACAACAGATGTTGGCGAGGATGTGGAGAAAGAGGATCTCTTTTGCACTGCTGGTGGGAATGCAAACTGGTGCAGCCACTCTGGAAAAAAGGATGGAGGTTCCTCAAAAAATTAAAAATAGAACTACCCTACGACCCAGCAATCGCACTACTAGGCATTTATCCACGGGATACAGGTGTGCTGTTTTGAAGGGACTCATGCACCCCAATGTTTATAGCAGCGCCATTAACAATACCCAAAGTACGGAAAGAGACCCAATGTCCATCAACAGATGAATGGATAAAGATGTGGTATATATATATATATATATACACACACACACACACACACACACACACACACACACACAATGGAGTATTACTCGGCAATCAAAAAGAATGAAATCTTGCCATTTGCAACTCCGTGGATGGAATTAGAGGGTATTATGCTAAGCAAAATTACTCAGTGAGAAAAAGACAAATATCATATGACTTCACTCATACGAGGACTTTAAGAGACAAAACAGATGAACATAAAGGAAGGGAAACAAAAATAATATAAAAACAGGGAGGGGGACAAAAGAGACTCATAAATATGGAGAACAAACTGAGGGTTACTGGAGGGGTTGTGGGAGGGGGGATGGGCTAAATGGGGAAGGGGCACTAAGGAATCTACTCCTGAAATCATTGTTGTGCTATATGCTAACTAACTTGTATGTAAATTAAACAAACAAACAAACAAAAAAACCCCAAACAAGGAAACAGAAGTACAGTATACTATTTTCCTATTCAGTGAAAAATATTTATATAATCATAACACTAAAAATACCATTTATTGATTTTCACCTTTGAAAATCTAAAAAAAAAAGCAATCTGTAGACAGTGTTCAAGGCTTAATTATGGTTATAGAAGAGAATATCACCCATCTTTATACTATAAAGTACAGAAACAACTGTAGGAAGGTGGCAAGGAAGAGTGGAATAAAAGAAGCACAAAAGAGCTAATATTTTTTCTTGCAAAGTATGGAATAAAGAGATACTATCTTTACCAGAAAGAATGACAAATAAACAAAACCCCTACAGCTGGTTGACTAAGTAGATGCTTTCCCCTTAAGATCAGGAACAGAGCAAGGAAACCCCCTGGCCCCATGTCTGCTCACTTCTATACTGCGGTTCTAGCTGAAACGGTGCTACAGGCGGTAGCAATTCTTATGGTCTTACAATAATAGGGTCCTGAACAGCTTAAGCAGTGTGGGTGCATGGTGGTTCCCCTCAAATGTGGGGCAGAGAACACCGCTCCCACACCCTTCTCTCTCCTCTGGGCCCCGGACCAATCCTGGGCTCTGAGAGAGGTGAGGGGTGGGAGAACAGGAGCAACCGCTGGAGAGAATGAAGGTGCAAGGGGGGCCTCTGGAGGTGGAGGAGATGTGCCAGCGGTAGCACGCTGTGGGCACAGTGACGAGGACAAATGCGCAGCGCATCTATCTGCTCCGGGGCATACATCTGCAGCGTGCACGGTCCTCACAGCCTGTGTGCCCAGGGGCCCAGCGCAGCCAGCGCTCAGATGCCCCAACAGTCCAGTCAGCCTCTGCAGACTCCCAGCCCTTCCTTACCGGCATGCTTCCAAACAGCCTGCCAGCAACCAACCCTGGCTCTGTACCACAGTCTATCTACAGCGCTCACAGAATTGCTTCATTTAAGACAACTGATCACACAGCCTCCGTGGCTGGCATGACTGGGAATAGCAGAATGAGACAGAAACAGCTCCATCCCAAGAGGTCCCTGACTCCTCCAGCACAGAAAGCTTTTACAACTGCCCTTGGCATCTCCGTGGGTTTTCTATATGGCCTTCATCTGTCTGGAAGGCCTTCCCCAACTCTGCCTGACAAATCCTGACGGTCCCAAGGCCACCCACCCACTGCCTCATGGGCTTTTGCTGTCATCCAGCCCTCCTTGTCAGGGGCGGTCATCCTTCTCCACTAGTCGGTGAGCACTCCAAGCCCCCAAAGCCTCATGTGCATTATCTCGTTTAACCCTCAACAATGCTTTAAGGTGGATTCTATTAGCCCTGTGTTAGGTGACAAAATGGAAGAGTCTGCTTTCTTCGGGACCACCAGGCTATACTGCTCTCATTTCTCACTTTGAATCACAACTTTAGTTATGTTTTGGCCTTAACACTAAAAGAAAATGCACAGAAGAGAAGATCCAAATCGCCTGAACACAATGAACAAGTGCTCAACTTCACAAGCAGGCAGGAGAATGTGAATTAGAGCAACAATGGGATCAGAGATTTTGCTGTTTATAAAAATTATAAAAAGACTCAGGAATCTTATGATGGGCAAGGCTGGTGGGAACAGGTCCTCTTAGAAGGCCTTTTGGAAATAGGAATTTCTGTATATTTTTTGGAAATTAACTTAATATCTTTTAATATTAAGAATACACAAGCCAATTGTGTGGCCACTTTGGAAAACACTTTTGCATTTCTTCAAAAAGGCTAAGCACAGGGTTTCCCATATGACCCAGCAATTCCATCCCTAGATACATACCCAAAATTCGAAAACAGGGGTTCAAACAAAAAACTTGTCCATAAATATTCATAGCGGCACTACTTACAGTAGCCAGAAAGTGGAAATGACCCAATGTCCATCAACTGATGAATGGAAAAAACAAGATGTGGTGCCTCCATACAATGAAACATTCAGTCATAAAAAGAAATAAAGCGCTGACCCCATAGTACATCATGGATAACTTTGAAAACGTTATGCCAAATGAAAGAAGCCAATCATGAAAGACCATACAACGTATGACTTTGTGTATGTGAAATATCCAGAAAAAGCAAACCTATAAAGACGGAAAGTAGATCAGTGTTTTCCTAAGACCAGGGGAAGTGGCTGGGGTGGGAGAGCATAATGGCACTGACAATGGGCATGAGGTTTATTTTGGAATGATGACAGTGCCTTTTTTTTTTTTTTTAATTTTTTTTTTTTTCAACGTTTATTTATTTTTGGGACAGAGAGAGACAGAGCATGAACGGGGGAGGGGCAGAGAGAGAGGGAGACACAGAATCAGAAACAGGCTCCAGGCTCTGAGCCATCAGCCCAGAGCCTGACGCGGGGCTCGAACTCACGGACCGCGAGATCGTGACCTGGCTGAAGTTGGCCGCTCAACCGACTGCGCCACCCAGGCGCCCCTTTTTTTTTTTAAATATGGGTCTCAAACTTACAACCTGGAGATCAGGAGTTACATGCTCTACCGACTGAGCCAGCCAGGTGCCCCAACAATGTTTTAAATTAGATTGTAGTGACAGTTGCATATCTGTGAACATACTAAAACATCTTAAATGAATGAATTGTAGTGATGTAAGTTATACCTCAGTAAAGTTGTTTAAAAAATACACGAACCCTAAGACCCTGAAATCTTTCTGCAAAGAAATCAGTAGGGATTGATGTAAAGTGTGTTTATTTCAGCCTTGTTTATAATTGCAAAAACAGGGGAACATGTTTGATGCCCATCAGTGGAGAGACAGTTTATTCATAGAAGGGAATATTATGCAACAATTAATATCTTGAGTTAGATCTTTATCTACCCATCTGGATGGACATCCCTGCTAGAGTCCTAAGTGAGGAAAGCAAGCGCCAGGATAATGTGTTTTACAAAGTCGTGCAGTCGCACACACTCCCTCCGAAGGGGGCAAACGCATGTGCTCCTGTGTGTACAGAGTGCAGCATGGCAGGTGCACAGTAGGAAATAATTTCTCTTTCTCTTTATTCATCTTTCACTAGTTCCACTGGACAGGCACTACTTTTTTCACTAAAAAATTTAGAAAGTTAAAAAGGAGAATATTAATGCTATGTTGAGCCCCAGACTCACATATCCAATCAGCTACTGAAATGTCTTTTCAGATGGATCAAAACATCTAAACTCGTCAAGACATAGCTAAAATTGTGCTCTCAAAGCTGGCCTCATCTGCCACGTCCGATTCCCTTCAACAGCTCTACTATCACCTTGCGGCCTAAACCGGGATCTCAGACGTCATCAGGTATGTTCCCAGCCTTCATCTGTGCCTTGCTTCCTCTGTACTGAATTCACTACCCAACCTGTCAGTTTCCCCCAACTAAACCCTCTTCCATGTTTACTTCACCTCTTCCCTTATCTCATGCCTTGGGACTGCTGCTTGCCCTCCCACTGGCTATTACCCAAGGCCCTGGCCCTTCCACTCTGCTCTGCAGAGACAAACACTGGATCACCCTCCTGTCAATGACAGAGCACACTCTTGCCAGGGCCACCCACTCGGGCAGTGGTTGGCCTCTCAGCCTAGTCTCCAGTCATTCCCTCCATCCAGATGCCTTTCCGGCCCCCTTCCAAACTCTGTGCTCCCTGACACTGCCCTGTCAGCAGCCTTTACGTGTCCTGGTTTTTTCCCTTCAGACATTCTTCCTGCCTCTACTCCTTCACCTACTTAGCTACTTCCTGCTTCAGATTGCAGCACAAAGCTCCTGTCCTTGGGGCAGCTACAGTGACCTCCCTAACAATGTGAGGTCCCAGCAATCAGTACTTGGAGCACTCTGAACGCTGCAGTTCCAAGTCTGATCGTGTGCATAGCTGACTGATGTCTTTCTATATAGACTGTGAGTCGAAGAGGCAAGAACCTCTTCTGATTTTGTTCCTTATGTATCCAAAGTCTGGAACATGTGAGACAACAATAAATACTTGCTTAATGAATGAGGAAACGAATATGAAGTATGATATTTAACAAAACGTAAATACCATTTCCATTTCCACCAGGATTGACTTGACTACCCACCTTGAACGCTGCAAATGGAGTTGACCTGAGTGACAGAATCCAGTTCATTGAGCTTCACAGGGCTGGTCAGTTCACAGGAGGGAGCACTGGAGGCCATACCCAAAAGGGGCTTTTGAAGCAAAAGGACACTTCGTTCAACACAAACAATCTGACCTGCCGACAGAGACACTTCGGATTATGGAAGCACTGAAGAGAAAGTGAGTTTTCCTCCCAGTGAGGACAGTGTCCTTTGCCAGCCTCCTAAGGCTGTGTGGGCAGAGGGCGCAGTTTTGCGCCCCCTCCCTTGTGTCCTACGACACATGCACTGTGCAGAAAGGAAGTCCTAAAGCCACCAGTGTGCTAAGCTGGAAAAGCACACAAATACTAGATTCAAATTCAATTTGGAAAGGTGAATTTTGTGGTATGCAAATTACACCTCAATCAAATAAAAAATATGTAGTTTAGACAGGATTCTAATTTGATTCCTGGAAAAAAAAAGCTGGTTGATCTAAGCATATATTTATAATGTTCCAGGCATTTGTTTGTTTTAAAAAGTGATGTTTCAGGCAATGGCTTCAGGTGGCTTTTGCACCTGTAAAGTGTGCCACCAAGAGACCATCTTTGAGTGACCAACGGCATCTTTCACAGGAGGTGTCAGCACTAAGCGTTCTAGTTCTGTCCAGGTGGCCATGACAGGGGTCATTTGAAGCCCCAGGCTGGTACCACGGGTCTCTTCCACTCCACACACCACGTCCGCAGTTGGCTTCATGAAGGGACGCAGTTCCAAATAAGTCAGAGGCATTGACAAGCCACAATGCCATTCTGTGGCGTCTATCAGTGGCTGCTGGGTCAAAACTGGGAAGAAGAAAGCATACCCTGGGCTCGGAGAGTGTCCCTGAAGAGGAAGCTGTGAGGGGTAGCCTCGGCGAGCGCTTCCACGACTTCCTGGCTCAGCACACATGAGGGGGCCACACAGACTGGTACAGTTTTGGGGAGGCCAGAGTTATTCTCATCCTGCATCTGCAGGGTGACATCAGTCACCATCAGCCAAATCTCCCTTTGCTGCGGAAGAAGCAAATCATTTAGTTACAATTCAAAGACACAGTCAAGTCTATTAACTTTAATAGCTATTCTAACGTCCAAGACTTAAAAGAAAATTAATGTTTTTAACTTATTTTTTGAGAGAGAGAGCATAAGCAAGAGAGGGGCAGAGAGAGAGGGGACAGAGGATCCGAAGTGAGCCAACAGGCTGACAGCAGTGAGTCCGATGTGGGGCTCGGACTCACGAACTGTGAGGTTATGACCTGAGCCGAATTTGAACGCTAAACCGACAGAGCCACCCAGGCACCCCTAATATCCAAACTTTTAAAAGCAATAATGTTAGATGATTATTACAACACTATTTTAGATATCATTCCCACAAATGTTTTCAAATATGCAATAGAGTCTGCGTGTCTTGGTCACTAGCAAACAATCTAACCTGATTGACATGGCTGAGCCCTGGGAACCCCAACCCTGTACTTGTTTAAAGGGCTCCTTTGCTGGGATACAGTCTGCCCTTCCTTGGCACTAATGTATTGTCCTTGACCTACTCAGGGAGATTTCACTGCTCTTTTTGTCCAGATCTCATGTTCCCATACCCAGAATGTGAATTACCACACTGTCTTATATTTAGTCCATACACATTCTTCTCTCCTGTTAGATGTAGGTTTCCTAGGGATCAGAGATTGTTATAAACTGAATGTTCACATCCACTCCCACATCCTCAATTCATAAGTTGAATTCCTGACCTCCAGTGTGATCGTAATGGTAGGTGCGGTATTCAGGAGGTAATTAGGTCATGAGGGTGTCACCTTGATGGTGGAATCAGGGTCCTTGTAACACATGAGGCAGTTTGTCTCCTCTCCTGCCTTCCACATTGCGAGGATGCAAAGACATATCCTTTTGTAAATCAACAGGAGGGGCCTCACTGAGAACCTGACCATGTTGGCAATTTGAACTCAGACCTGTGAGAAATGAACTGCTGCTGCTTAATCCATAGCAGCCCAAACTGACTAAGACAGGCATATTTATTACTGCCCTCAGACTTTGCATAGGGCCATGGTATAAAGCAGGAATAAAATAACTGTTGTATCTGCAACAATTTTTCTTTTTCTTTTTCTTTTTTATTCTTTCAAGTATATAATAGAATCTATGTGTCTTGGTCACTAGCAAACAATTGGACCTGATAATAATTTTCTTTTTTTTTTAAGTTCATTTATTTTTCAGAGAGAGAGAGAGAGAGAGCCAGAAACAGAGAGAGAAGGGGAGAGAGAGAATTCCAAGCAGGCTCTGCACTATCAGCACAGAGCCCAATATGGGGCTCCAACTCACCAACTGTGAGAATGTGACCTGAGCCGAAATCAAGACTCAGACGCCTAACTGAGTCACCCAGGCACCCCTATAATTTTCTTTCATCTGCAAAAGTTGTAATGTCTTTTAAAGTTCATTATAGTGGTATTCTGCCCTTTACCCTTGGTCAGAGTTTAGGATTTAGTAGATCCAATGAGGCCAAGGATTTGCCTGGGAAGACCCTTGTAGTCAGTAGGGCTGGACCATGACAACCTGTCTGGCTTGAGGTTCAGTTGGTGTTGCTTGCGTGGATTGATGGCATGGTCAGTTTGAGGATTCCATTTGGCTGGTTGACAGGAATGGGCAGAGAAAGTGACTTGCATGGTAGGAGCTGTGGGTTTGGGTCAAGGGGGAGCTCACATGGTTGAAATGCTGATTACACATAGGAAATTAGAGTAAATTATATGGAGGAAAATGAGAGCCAGGTTTCTCACTATTAGATAAGGGAGTTATAAATATGGAAATGGGGAAAACCTAAAGTCAATTCTGTGGTAAGGATCTACAGTTGGAGATATTGGTGTAAAATTAAGATTTCAGATATAGATGGAGAGATGGAAAGAAATACAGATTTATGTGTATGTGTGCATGGGTTTACATACGTAATACTTCCTTGTTCTGTTCACTGAGAGGGTCTGAAGGCAATAACATGCCAGTGGCAATGAGCCCATCTAGTTACCAGACCTTTGTTTAAATGCTGTTTTCCATTAAAATCAACCAGGGTTCCTTGAAGAGATGGCTGTTTCCAGAGCAGAGAAAGCACAAGATGAGTTGAAACATCTTATTGTGTCAGACAGCAAGCAAGTACTTAAAAGGATACAGGAACATGCCCAAAGGGCACATGAGCCAGCCTGAATCTGGTAAATTTGAACATCCAAATAAACAACAGTAAGATTATAACTCATTGAATAAAAACTGAATTCACTGGTCCATACTGATATAAGTAAGTGAATACATAATTAAATCAAGGAAATAAAAAGCTCCTAAGTATAGCTGAATGCAACTAATAAATATAGAAGGTAAGCTAGAGTTAGAAAACTACCATTAGGTCACTATCAGAGTAATAATTCAGGCCAAGAATCATATGGATATTAAAATGAGTAAAAGTTTGATGAAAATAGGATATTTACATAGTCTCAATGTATCTTCCTACATACAAATATCTTTCCACCCCGTCCCACCCAAATATCTTCCTTTATATGGATCAGATAGTTACTAACTTTAGAGTGGAGAAAACTAGAAAACACCATATTTTTTTTTCAAAAGTTTTTCTCTAAATTCCAGTTAGTTAACATACAGTGTATGTTATTAGTTTCAGGTGTAGAAGTTAGTGGTTCATCACTTCTATATAACACCCAGTGATCATCAAAGTGCCCTCCTTAACACCCATCACCCATTAAGCTCATTCCCTGTCCACCTCCCCTCTAGCAACCCTATTTGTTCTCTATAGTTAAGAGTCTGTTTTCTGGTTTGCCTCTCTCTTTTTTTCCCCCCTTTGCTCATTTGTTTTGTTTCTTAAGTTTCATATATGAGTGAAATCATATGGTCTTTGTCTTTCTCTGACTTATTTCACGTAGCACAATACTCACTAGCTCCATCCATGTCATTGCAAATAGGAAGATTTCTTTTTCACAACTAATATTATATATATCAATCACCTCTTCTTTATCCATTCATTAGTCAGTGGATATTGGGCTATTTTCATAATTTGGCTATTGTTGATAATGCTGCTATAAACATCGGGGTGCATGTGCCCCTTCAAATCTGTATTTTTGTATCCTTTGGATAAATACCTAGTAGTGCAATTGCTGGATTGTAGGGTAGTTCTACTTTTAACTTTTTGAGGAGCCTCCACACTGTTCTCCATAGTTCACCAGTTTGCACGCCCACCAACAGTGCAAAAGGGTTCCCCTTTCTCCACATCCTTGCCAACACTTGTTGTTTCCTGTGTTGTTACTCTTAGCCATTTTGATAGGTGTGAGGTGGTTATCTCATGGTAGTCCTGATTTGTATTTCCCTGATGATGAGTGATTTTGAGCATCTTAGATAACACCATTGTAATCAGCTGATAAAATATTACAGCACTGGGACAAATCAGCTGTGTGCTTTCTGATACGAAGACAGTATTTTTATGTGGTATTCCTGACAAAATGCATAGCTTGAATCTAGTCATGAGCTAACACGAGGTAAATCCAAAGGGAGAGATACTCTAAGTAACTGATCTCTATTCTTCAAATATGTTAAGGTCCTAAAAAATAAGCAAAGATGCAGAAACGTTCTATTTGAAGAGGAAAGAAACATGACAGCTAAGTGCAATGCAAGATCCTGTATTGGACCATGGAATTATAAATGATTTTAGGGGAACAACTAGCAAAATCACATTTTAAAAAATGGTAGATATCTCAGGAAGGGCAAAGATTTCTATAAGATTATCTATAGTTGGGACTTCTTCTGACAGCAAAGATTTTAGATACTCTTTGTAAATACCCTGGATTTGGCTTACTGTCTCTTTTTTAATTTCTTGATGGGCCAAAATTGTCTAACTTCCTTTGAAATTAACTACCAATTTATTGTTACCATTGGGGTTATGAATAAAATCAGTAACAAATAATATCCTCTGTAAAAAGACACAAATAACCAACTAATTGAAAGCTGTACTACCATTATTATTACTAAAATTTTATTAAAAATGGATCTCTTCTGGGGCACCTGGGTGGCTCAGACAGTTAAGTGTTTGACTCCTGATCTTAGTCAAGTCTTGATCTCATGGTTGTGAGTTCAAGCCCCGTGTTGGGTTCCACGCTGGGTGTGAAGCCTACTTAAGAACAACAACAACAAAAAAAGATCTCTTCCACACAAAAATGCCCCATTAATTTTTGACAAAGTTGCAAAAGCAATTCAATGGAGGAAGGACAACCTATCAACAAATAATGCTGGAACACTGGACATCTCTAGGCAAAAAAAAAATGAACTTTGACCTAAACTACACACTTTATTAAAAAACCAACTCAAAAATGCAGCATACTCAAATGTAAAATTATAAATCTTCTGGAAAAGAACATAAAGCATAAATTTGGGGGGTACCTGGGTAGCTCAGTCAGTTGCGCATCTGACTCTTGATTTGGGCTCAGGTCATGATCTCACAGTTCGTGAGATCCAGCCCCATCCTGGGCTCTGTGCTGACAGTGAGAAGTCTGCTTGGGATTCTTTTTGTCTCTCTGCCTCTGCCCCTCCCCCATTCACGTGTGTGTGTGTGTGTGTGTGTGTGTGTGTGTGTGCACGCGCACGTGCGCGCGCACGCTGAGCGCGTGCTCTCTCTTAAAAATAAGTAAACATTTAAAAAAAAAAAGATAAACTTTGGGACCTAAGACTAGGCAAAGAGACTTGACTTGTCTTAGACTTAATGACAAAGGCATGATCCATAAGAGGGAAAGTTAATACATTTGACCACATAAAACTGAAAAACTCTGCTCTGCAAAACCCCTGTTGAAAGGATGAAAACACAGATTATAGACCCTGAGAAATATTGGCAAATCACATATCTGACAAAGGCTTTGTATAGAGATTATATAAAGAACTTAAAAAATTCAGCAGTTATATTTGGAATTTAAGAAACAAAACAGATGAACATATGAAAAGGAGGGACGGGAAGAGAAGAAAGGGAAACATACCACAAGAGACTCTTAACGAGAGAACAAACTGAGGATTGATGGAGGGACATGGGTGGGAGATGGGCTAAATGGGTAATGGGCATTAAGGACTGCACTTGTGATGAGCACTGGGTATTATATGTAAGTGATGAATCACTGAATTCTACTTCTGAAACCAATACTGCAGTGTATGTTATCTAACCAAAATATAAAAAATAAAAATATAAATATAAAAGAAAATGCCATATTGAACAAATAAATAAAAATTCAGCAGTAAACAAATAATCCAAACAGAAAATAGGCAAAAGACATGTATAGACATTTCATCAAAGAAGTTATACAGATGGCAAATAAACACATGAAAAGATGTTCAACATTATTAGTTCTCTGGATGAATCTCTAGAGAATTTTATTAATTGGGGGAAAAATAATCCCAAACAAATAGCTCCCAAAGGAGCTGTTACAGGTTGAATTGTGTCCCTCCAAAAAGATCAGTTGAAGTCCTAACTCTAGTATGTCAGAATGTGATCTAATTTGAAACTAAAGTCTTTATAAATGTAACCAAGTTAAGAGGAGATCATTTCAGTAGGCCCTCATCCAATATGACTGGTGTCCTTAAAAGAAAAGGAAATTTGGATTCTGATAGGCACAGAGGGAAGGCCATGTGAAGACACAGATGGCCATGTGCCTGGGGTGATGCGTGTATGTGCCAAGGATTGCCAGCAAACACCAGAAGCTGGAAGAGGCAAGGAGATTTTCCCTGAAGCCGTCACAGAGAGCATGGCCCTGCTGATACCTTCCTTGATTTCAGACTTTTAGCCTCCAGAAGTGTGAAATGATATATTTCTGTTGTTTTCAGCGATCCAGCTTTTGGTACTTTGTGCAGCTGGCCTAGGAGACATCACTGATATATATTGCGTGGTCTCATTTGTGTAACTATCATGAAATGACCTAATTATGAAGATGACACCAGATTAGTGGCTGATGTCACTTTCTTGGTTAGGGTGTTAAATGGTAGCTACTCTGGGTATGAGAAGTTAGTACAGGGCACGCTACATGGGAGGACACTATTTCTTTGCAGCCTACATGAATCTATAATTACTATTAATCTAAAAGGTTAGAATAATTTTATTCAAAATACAAGTCAAGGGGGCACCTGGCTGGCTAAGTTGGGTAGAGCATGCAACTCTTGATCTCAGGGTTGTAAGTTTGAGCCTAAGTTAGGGGCAGAGATTACTTAAAGATAAAATCATTAAAAAAAAGGTAAATATCTTTTTCACCTGCATGACTTGGCCATTTGTATAATGGAGATACAATAGAATCTTCTTTAAAAACTCAGGTTCTTGCAGCGACTCCTAGTGCCCTTCTTAAAGTCAACCAGCACTGTAATGTACAGGTGACTGGCTGGACCACACTGTGGCCCCAGAACCTAGCTTATTTCAATTCCTCCCCGAGGAAGTTGGTTTCTGGTGATTCTCTGCCCCACAAAAGCAGAACACAGGAGGTACAGAGAATTATAACGCATTGAGGAATCTGTTCCTTTGGGTTCCAAGCCCGTCACCTAAGTACTACCAATCCTTCGGTACATACTCCCACTGAAACCCACGCTTGCTGGCAGGCTGCACCTGTGCTAATGGAAGCCTATTTCTTGGCAGAAAACTCAGGACAGGAGGGTATCAGTGTTCTCAACTGGCCAGAAGGCAAGGCTCCTTCATGCAGTGAGGCAGACGACCTGTAGTTTGTCTCTCTCTGTCCACTGGGGCTAGCAGTGAGACTTAGCTATGGTATATCGGACACCTGCTCTCTTTACTTCCCACCTCTGCTGTCAGCTGGGGCTGTGGGCAGGTGAGCCTCTACGGGCACCAACGTGTGCTATATTGCCCCCGAGGACAGCAGTCTATCTGCAGAGTAAATGGCAGCCGCACAGTGAACCACTGTCTATGACACAGTCATACGACCTGAAATGTGTGTTAGAATAATAGGCAATGTGCCAGGTGCCAAGCATGTCTTAACATACTAAGTGTCCTGCAGACGGTGGGTGGGGGAATTTGCAGTCAGCCTTCGGTTTGCTTCAGGGTTGGAAGGTAAGAGGCACCTCAGGTAACCTGGATATCACCCTCAGTGAGGGCCTGTCGCCCTGCCTGTTGAGCCAAATACTGGGTGGCTCATAGGAAGCACTGTGAATGACTGATGTCAGTCACTCTCTTATTCCTCAGGAGGGGTATCAATTCACTGTCAAATGATTAAGAAGTGAACGGAGAAAAGGAAAACGAGGATTGAACAATGGGATGGTCTGTATTCCTCCGGTGACAGATTTGCATGGATGTTCCTCTCTGAGTTAAGGTCCAGCAGAGGTTTTTTTTTCTGGCAGAACTTACGGCAGGTGTTCCGCTTACCAAAAACATCTCTTTCCCTTTTCTGCTCCTAGCTGATTTGTTGAGTGGCAAGGCGGCAAATGAGCATCTCCCCAGGACTGCCAAAGCCTCCCAGGGGCCACAGGGCTTCCTTCACCTGTCGCTAACTCAGAGCTCCTGGACAGTTCTGGCAGGGGCCGAGCTCAGTCCTGAGAGTCCTCCTTTTCCCCCCTTCCTACGACCTGCCTCTGTGCCAGAAAGGAATGCACAGTGCGGGGCTGAGACCTTCTCAGGCAGGCTATGCCTAGGCTGTTTCACACCCAGGACATACCACACTGGCTGGCAGGCTGCACCTGCACAAGAAATGGATACACTGCTGCCTAGGCTAGGAGCACGCACAACTGCATTTTAAAAACGCTTTTCCATTTTAGCACTCCATTAATTTCTATGAGAGGTTATCCTTTAGCAAACTTTTTAACACCTTATCGGAAAGAGAGAGAGAGGGATCGATTACCTGTGATCTTTGATAAATCACTCTGGCATAGAAACTGCAACGTGTACTGTGGTCATCGGTCTGGAAAGGCATTGAAAATGATTAGAACATGACACAAAACACACACATACAGTGAAAGTAGTTAAAGACCCCATAAACACAGACGATACCTGAAGAATTTCTCTTAAGAAGCGGGTAACTGGAGGTTGGTAAAGCTTAGAAATGCGGTCTTCTTCTATGACATCAATCTGTCCCACACTTGGATGAGCAGAGAGGATGTAACAGAAGCTAGGAGGAGGCACACGAGTTTCTACCTGTTTAAAATGAAGGCAAAGGCAAACATAAGTGTGCTGGTAAAGATTCAAATACATTATTAAAATCTACTCTTTAATATATAGGTATTTATTCACAGATGCATTCTATCTCCCTGGAAGGTTATATAAGAAATTGGTATGTTGTTTATCTCTGGGAACCAACATAAGAACTTTTACACTTTTTGAATTTACTACGGATTCAAGATTTCATTAAAAACAAAAATTCTTCAGGAGTACCTGGGTGGCTCAGGTGGTTAAGCATCCGACTCTAGATTTTGGCTCAGGTCACGATCTCATGGATTGTGAGTTCGAGCCCTGGATCAGGTTCCATGCTGGTAATATGGAGCCTGCTTGGGATTCTCTCTCTCCCCCTCTCTGCCCCTCCCGAGCTCTCTCTCTAAGTAAATAAATAAACTTAAAAAAATTAAATAACAAAAACAAAAACAAACCATTCTTCAGAGTATATCTGAAAACACCATTTAGAAACTTCTTCCTCTTTGAGCGCCTGGGTGGCTCAGTCCGTTAAGTGTCTGACTTCAGCTCAGGTCATGATCTCGAGCCCTGCATCAGGCTCCATAATGACAGCTCAGAGCCTGGAGCCTGCTTCACATTCTGTGTTCCCCCACCCCTCTCTGCCCCTGCCCCACTTATGCTCTCTCTCTCTCTCTCTCTCTCTCTCAAAAAATGAATACACATTAAAAATAAATAAAAAAATAAGTACACTTCTTCCCTTTAAAAAAAATGGGTACTGTTGACAACTGTTTACTGGTCTAGCACACTACAGAGTTATAGTCTTAGCAGTCTGCTAGGAACTCGGCTACCACACAAACAAGACAGCCCCCAGTTTTCAGCTTTCAGAGCTATGGCCCAAAGCAGCCGCTGGCCAGTCTGGTGGATATACCTGAGGATGGTGAAGAAGGGACACATTTTAATCAGTCAGTTTTACTACCTGTGAGCAACTACCATAAACAATTTGATGCAGTAGAAGGGAAGTCCCTGGCTAACCGGGTAGTTGTACCAATACCATGGGTTTTATTTACCACATTATATGAGTTTGTGCTCTAATTGGTAACTGAATGTTGGTTCTAACAGTATCTGGGAGGCAGAGGGGAAAACACCCTGTGTCTTATTTAGTACAAGGCTAAGACCCTAATTATTACAATGGCATGCAGTGGTTGTGGTTTTAAGACATCGTCATAAATTAACCTCAAGAAGAATGGAGTGTGGCATAGCAAAGAAAGCAGCCAGAGGCTGGACTTTAGACTGAGGTGAACTAGTCTGAATCTCTGTCCTCCTGGCTGATAGTCACTGGACCTCGGCTTCTCGGGGATGTGAACTGTGGGTGGGGCCTGACTCAGCACCTGGCATGGTGCAGGTGTCAGTCAGGGGAAGCCCCTCAGATGCTGGCTTACCTCTTCATGGGCTTGGCCACGGCCAGGTGCTTTCAGAGGCATGGCTGGAGGCCACATGGTGTCAATCAAGCTGAAAAGCCCTGCTGTCCTGGGAAAAAAAAAGATGCTGTTGATGGTATTCATCACTTAAGTGCCTGTTCATGATCTGGGTATGTGCAGTTTTGCTTAACAGGTACTATCCCTAATGCCAAGGAGACACCATTCAGGATGTGTGCTGATTCGGATGGGGAAGACACTGTCACACAGAGAAATGGGCCTTTGAAATCGCGCAAGAACAGGAAGGAGTTTGTCCATTACATTGTGATACAGCTCCCCAATCAAGTATTTTTTTTTTTAATTTTTTTTTCAACGTTTATTCATTTTTGGGACAGAGAGAGACAGAGCATGAACGGGGGAGGGGCAGAGAGAGAGGGAGACACAGAATCGGAAACAGGCTCCAGGCTCCGAGCCATCAGCCCAGAGCCCGACGCGGGGCTCGAACTCACGGACCGCGAGATCGTGACCTGGCTGAAGTCGGACGCTTAACCGACTGCGCCACCCAGGCGCCCCTCCAATCAAGTATTGTACAGCCATTGAAGTGGTTACATAGAAGTGTTTAACAAAATGGGAAAATGTTTCTGATACCTTGCTAATGGAAAAGCAGGCAACAAACTATAATGTCTTTCTCTATGTATGTATCTATGCACATACCTGCATGTAATAAGCCAAAAGAAAAGGATACTGAAAGATACACAAATGATTTTAGTGGTTATCTGAGTGCAGCTTAGAAGTAACACTTTCTTCCTTTGGCTTTTATGTGTTTCCTATCTTTTTCCAAATAGGTATGTATTACTCATAAGAAGAAAAATTATCAATAAGCTATCTAAAGTAAAAAAGATAGCCAGACGTACAAGGACAAATATTATATGATTCCACTCATGAGGTTCCTAAAGCAATCAAACTTGTACAAACAGAAAGTGGAATGATGGTTGCTAAGGGCTGAGGGGGTGGGAAACAGGCGGTTAGTGTTGAATGGTCATGGAGTTTTAGTTTGGGAAGATGGAAACATTCTAGAGCTGGAGGGGTGTGATGGATGTTGAACAGTGTGAATGTACTCAATGACACTACTAATGGTTAAGGTGGAAAATTTGTTATTTACATTTTATCACACTAAAAAACCCCCCCGTTTTAGTTGGTATGCATGCACGTGTGCACATACACACACATCTCACAAAGCCTTCTTAGATTTTGCTCTCTCAACAAGATAGAATGCATGTGTGAGTAAATATCTATATATTCTTATTTCTTTCAATGTTTAACAGCAAGTTTTAGGTGCTTAGGATCTAGCAGCTAACAAAACTGAACAACTCAGAACCTGAAGATGAGGGTCTTAGCTTGCACTAGACAACACAAGCACCTCCCCACCCCCTTTGGGTTCCTCAAATTAATTTCAATAGAATCGTAGGGCATGGCCTGTGACAAACACCAAGCTCAATAGCATTCCTGTGAATTTTTAGGTTTTGGGTCAAAATCAAGCAAACAAGTAAGCAAAATGTGGGTAACACATGGTAAAAAGGGATTGCCTGTGAAAATTTACTCTCTCCCTCTCTTGATTAATTCTGAGAAGTACCCTGTTGCAGCTGTCTGTGTGAGTGACGGACAGGGCTGGGGGACCCAGGGCTGCCTAAGGTCAGGAAAAGCTGTCAGGGAAGGTGCAGAGGTAAGCTCATTTGACCTCTCACTGCCCTTCCCCAGGACTAAGGAATGGGGTGGGCCCATGATGTCTCTCCCCGGGGGTGGGTGGGGTGGCAGGAAGGACATGGGACATGGACTTGCCTCTTGCTCTCTGTCTGCCACGTGCCCAGTACTTCCTGCTCCTGGCTTGGCTCCTTTCTTTTCCCGGAGCATGCCACCTGACTCATGTTCCTCTGCCGTCCTCTCACTGTTTGATGTGAGCTCCCCAGTGGGTGGGCATCAATTTGTCCTGGTTGCAGAGAAGTGCCAGCCCAGACAAACTGGTCAAGAGACTTGGCGGATGAGGAACTGACACCCAGCTATCACAAACACCTACATACTTCACTGCAGAAATCAGACCTAACACACTTGATATGCTCATTTCCTATTTGCAGTCTGGAGAAATGCGAGGTTGGCGGGCAAACAGTAATTTTCTACACCAATAAATATGTCCATTTCTCACCTTAGACCTGACTACATTTCAAAGGCAAAGCTAAGACTTTGCTCAAGCCCCTCGTTTACGACGGAGTGGGTACAGCATGGGCCTTGCAACAAGACCTGTCTATTGTTCTAGTTCTGCATTTTATATACTGTGAAACCTTAAGAAAGTTTGCTTAATTCTTGCACCTTCCGTCTCCTCTTCTGTAAAGTTGGGAGAGATCAGTACACACCTGTTGTGTTACTGCAAGGGGTGAAAAACATACTGCGAGTATAGCATCTACTAGGGTTTCTATGCTCAGAATAAGTACTCAACGTGTTGGGCATCTGATGCTCTTGTAATTATTCATGTTGCTAATTGTTTAGGCTATTAGCTTCTTTTTTTTAAAGTTTATTTATTTATTTTTTGAGGGGGGTAGGGGCGAGAGAGAGAGAGAGAGAGACAGAGAGAGAGACAGAGAGACAGAGAGTGTATTCCAAGCAGGCTCCACGCTGAACCCTACGTAGGGCTGGATCTCACGACCCCAAGATCTTGAGCTGAGATCAAGAGTCAGGCACTTAACCGACTAGGCCATCCAAGTGCCCTTAGGCTATTAACTTCTATGCTGTTTTCTGTTCAAAAATTTCCCAGTTGAAGACAAGATTTTAACCCCAGAGTGACCTTCTTTGTGAAGGAACAGAGTCAAATTAAAGGTATGATGAAAAGATGATTCTTTATACAGAACAGGAAAATAACACTTTCCAGAGAGTGACCAAGTGTTTATCGATTTTCCTAAATTTTTAGAGTTTCTGTTGTGTGGAGTCCATAAACTCCAAGAAGACAAGGTTCTATGGTGGGTTAGGGTTGTCACATGCAGCCTACCTGTGGCTTAGCCAGACACACTGGAGTGGGAGACTCTGGAAAACCTGGTGTAAAAGATACATGTAAGATCTGTACAAATGGAAGTTTCTTCAATTTATAACCATGAAGTCCTTTTTGGAAGCAGTGTTCCCTTGGAATTTTCTTTGACAAGTGCTATACTATGAATATAGCCTTAGAAAAGTTCTTTTTGAATTTAATGATGCTTACTTATTTAGAGGATGCTAGTGGCTAATTTTAAAAGTTTGGACCGGTTACACATTTATACTTTAATGCATTAAATAAAAAACTTAGTCTTATAAAAAATCAGCTTCTCTACTGTTTTGAAATATAGATATGATTCAGATGGCTCTGTGAACTAGAGCTTTCGTCTCAGGCAGCACGCACATCCCTCGAAATGACTCCAGCCTCTGACTGGGACAGACTTTGTGCCGAAGCTAACTTTTGGCACACAGTGTATTGTTCTTCTCACTTCAGTCCTTCCCATTCATTTTTGTATCAGGTTTCACTTTGTTGCATAGGAAACTCATTCTTTCTAAAAAGCCATCCCTTTAAAATATGTTTAAAACAACAAACAAATTATCTGATGGGTAGATGCCACCAAAAGTTTATATTTTCATTTTTTTTAAAGTTGTAAAATATATGTTTAATTAAAATAGAGGGGGAAAAGGACACACAGAAAAAGTCATCCAGTTTATGGTAAAAAAATATGAAAAAAAATCTGAAAACATCATTTTGCCAGAATAAATTTCTTAGGATATATCTTAATTTATAGATGGCATAAAGTGAATCTGCAGAAAAATTTGGGTCACATCTCAGAAAACTAGAAAGCTTCCATAGCTATTATTTTATTTATAGCAACAGGGTAGTATTTAAATGGGAAGACATCAAGATATATGCACATATTAAAATTATATTTACCAAAATGCACACTTAAAATGGTTAAAATTGTATTTTGTTATATATATACATGCATATGTATATATATATATATGTATACTCATTTTTCATAAAAAAGTTATATTTACCATGAAAATGAGTACCTAGTATTTTGGCTGAGGATTGTTGACAGCTCATGGAAAGAGTTATACTCCCTTCTATGTGAGATGTGATATAATATGAGCATCCCAAATTCTTTACAGCAGAACACAATTTTTATTTTATTTTTCAATTTAGTTTTTAAACTGTTGGTTTATTTATTTATTTAGCGTGTGCACACTGCGTGCTTGTGGGTGGGAGAGGGGCAGAGAGAGAAAGAGAGAGAGAATCCCAAGCAGGCTGCATGCTGTCAGTGCAGAGCCCAACTTGGGGCTTGATCCCATGAGCCTGATCATGACCTGAGCTGAAATCAAGAGTCAGACGCTTAACCAACTGAGCCTCCCAAGTGCCCTTAAATCTAATTTTTAAAACTGAGATATGTCACATACCAAAAAATTCATCCTTTTAAAGTGTACACTGCATGGTTTTTAGTGTATTCATAGACTTGTGGAACTTTCACCACTGTCTACTTCCAGAATGTTTCCTCACGCCAATACCATCCCAGGTACACCCTGTGCTGTGCCTGTCAGCAGTCACTCTTGCTACAGATCTACTTGCTGTTTTTATGGGCATTGTATACAAATGGAATAATATTAAATGTGGTCTTTTGTGTCTGGCTTCTTTTACTCAGCATCATGTCTTTAAGGTTCATCCATGTTATAGCATGTGTCAGTACTGTATTCCTTTTTTGGCTGAATAATCCATGGTATGGATAAATGACATTTTATTATCCATTCATCAGTTCATGGACATTTGGGTTATTTCCACTTCTCAGCTGTTATGAAAACTGTTGCTATGAACATCCATATACAAATTTCTGTGTGGACACATGTTTTCATTTCTCTTACGCAGATAACCTAGGAGTAATTTGCTGGGTCATACGGTAATTCTGTGTTTAACTTTTTGAATAACTACCTAACTGTGGTGCATAGTGCTGGCACTGCACCATTTTACATCCCAACAATGTGTGGGGTTATAAATCCAATTTGGTTTGTAAGTTATTACACATATTTAAAAAAATTTGGAAACATGAAATTTTA